TCCAACTTTTACTATTATAATTTATATTTGCTATAGGTATTTTATATCACATTAAGGAAATGTTTTCCTATTTTTAGTTTTCTAAAACTTTTAAAAATCAGAAATAGATGTTGAATGTTACTAAATGCTTTTTCTGTATTAATTGAAATGATCATATGATACTTTTCTTTAATCTGTATTATATAGATTGACTTTTTTACATGTTAGCAAACCTAGAATTTCTGTAATAAACCAACTTGGTCATGATTAATGATCCTTTTTATATATTGCTGAATTTGATTTGGTAATATTTGGTTGATGGTTTTTCCATTTATATTCATGAGAGGAATTTACCTGTGAAGGTACTTTTTCATATCATACTTGTCAAGTTTGGTATCAAGGTTATATGATCTTTATATATAAAGTAAGTTTAGGATTATCACATCTTCTACTTTTTGAAAAAGACTTATGTAAAATTAGATTTATTTCTTCCTTGAATTTATCTGTGAAGCCACCTGGGTCTGGAATTTTCTTTATAGGAGGATTTTTTTAATTACTGAATTAAATTGCTTTAATGGTTACAGAACTATTCAGGTTTTCCCTTTCTTCTTGAGTAAATTTTGCTACATTGTATTTTTCTAGGAATTTGACAATTCATCCAATTCTTCATATTTACCAGTGTGAAGTTGGTAACATGAAGTTCATAATATTCATTACTGTCTGTTTAATCTTTACACAACGGTTATGATGTAGCCTTTGTCATTCTTGATGTTGGTTACTTGCCCTTTATCACTTGCTCTCTTGTTTGGTCTCATCAGAGGACTGGAAAATTTATTCATCTTTTGCAACAATTTTTGGCTTTCTTGGTCCTCTCCATGTGACTGTCTCCCACTTTGCTAATTATGTTCTTGCTTTAATTGACTTCTTGATTTTATTACTCTGGTTTTATTTTGCTTTTGTTTTTGCTTTTTTGAAATGTCTCCTTATTTTCACTCTTTCTTTTTCCTAGTACATTTATTTAAGATATAATTTTCCCAGGAAGTACTTGTTAAAGGCATTCTATAATTGTTACATGTAAAATAATTCAATTTGGTTAGTTTAAAATATTTAAAATTATTATTGTGATTTCTTTGGAACCTTGAAACTTATTTCTAGCTATATATTTTTTTTATTTGCAACTTGATTTCTAGTGAAACTTGTATGATTCCAGTTCTTTGAAAATGGTTGAGACCTATTTTATGACTCAACATACAGACAATTTTTGTAATTTTTCCATGTTTTCTTCAAAATAATGTGAGTTTTGTAGTTGTATGCAAGGCTCTGTATATGCCTATCAGATCAAGTTTCTTAATCTTGTCTTTCAACTCTATATCCTTACTGATTTTTTCTGTCTACTTTATTCCATCAATTACTAAAACAAGTGGGTTAAAATGTTATTCTGGGTTTGCTTATTTATCTTTGCTGTTTTGGCAATTTGTACTTAATATATTTTGAGATTATGTTATTATGGGCATTTAGATTTTAAATTATTTATCTTCCTATTGACTTGAAACTTCAGTTATTTACAAAGTGACTCTATTTCTAGTAATGGTTTGGGCTTTAAAGTCTATTTTGTTTAATCAGTATAGTTACACCAGTGTCCATGTGATAAATATTTGCAGAGTATAGTGTCTTCTATTATAATTTACATTTTACACATGAGGAATCAGTGGTTAAGCAACATACCCAACAGTAGACAGCCATAAGTGGTACCATCAGGAACTGAACTCAAACAATGTGTCTCCAAAGTCTAAGCCTCTCAACATTATAGTTCTCTTATAAATTCCAAAGAGTAAAGTCAGCTTAGGTTCAGGGGGGCTATGCTCTCACTCCAATTTCTGCAAAGAATTTCTGATGAATTGCTCTCTGATTTGATGTTTCACTTAGCTTTGAGTTAAATTTTCATTTCTTTAATATTCTCTTAACATTATACTTTTTAAAATTCTTTACCACACACACAAAAAAAGAAATATTCTTAATCCAGAACTGCAATATTCAACCTCTTTCACTCACACACAAGAGACAGAAATCTTTAAAATATTGCTCTTTGCCTTTGAAATAGGCATGATTACCAACAACTTTCCCATGCCAATGCTTGTCCCATGCCATTGAACTGCAACACAGTATTTCAGTCTGCCCTAACCTAAAAGAGGCAGGGGGCTGCAATGTGATTAAGATTTCTGAGCAACTGTATGGCTCTACTGAGAAGGAAAGCTTATTGCAACCTGACTTCAGGAAAAAGTCAAAAAGGATGGGTGCTAAGCTGATTCATTTCTTCTTGAGTAGACATATTTAGTATTTTTAATAGGAACACTAAGCAACTTAGGTAAACCTTTTGGATTCCATACTTCTTATATTTTCAAATTTTAGTATGAAATCATACTTGTTATTTAAAATACTGTGTAGGTTGCCTGGGTGGCTCATCTGCCTTTGGTCATGATCCTGGGGTCCTGGGATCGAGTCCCACAGCGGGCTCCCTGCTCAATGGGGAGTCTGCTTCTCCCTCTACCCCTCCTCCCTGCTTGTGATCTTTCTCTCTCACTCTCTCTCTCTCAAATACATAAATAAAATCTTTAGAAAAATAAAGAAATAAAAATAAAGAAATAAATAATTGTGTAAACTAGGAAGAAAATTAAAACTGCTCATAATTCCATGATCTAGAGCTAATATTTGATGTATTAACTTTCAGGTATTTTTCCTGTTAATTTGTATGTATTTGTAATATATATTTATAAGTGAGTGTATATTTGTGTGTGCATGTACGTGTGTACACACACAAATTTAGAAATACAATGTATCTTTAGTGTGGATTCTGTCTTGTTTAATATTACATTATGCATAATTTCATGTGAGTTTAAAAATTCTTTAAAAATATTTTGACTGTATAATACAAATGTACTCAAATTTATCCAACTACTGCTCCATTACTGGACAGTTTAGTCAATCTCAAACTCTTCTCATTATAAATATATGAAAACAAACAAATATATTTATATCAATTTTGTCTCTTTCTTTAATTATTTCATTAAGTTAGATTCCTGGAAGTGAAACTGTCAAATACTGCTAATTGGGCCCTAATATCCAGTCTCTTATTATTCCACTATAATAACTACCCCAGATTCATCTCCCAAAATAAAAACTACATTTTCTAGCCTTTTAAAGTATGGCATTGCTGTATGACTATGTTCTAGCCAATGGAATGTAAATGGAAGGGGTGTGAACACCTTTCAGAAGATTTCCTTAAAGGGGGGAGCATGATCTTCTCCTAGTAACATTTCCTTCCTGTTGCTAGCACATGGACATGATGACTGGAATACCAATTCTGGATCTTTTAAAAGACTAGGTAAAAGCCACGTGTTCAGGGTAACAGAGCAAGAGACGAAGGATCTGGGTCCCTGATGACTATGGAAACACCCAACCAGCAATAAACTGCTTACACAGACTTCACAAAGAGAAAATGTAAATTTCCATCTTTTTAAAAACTATTTTGGATTACTTGTAACCAAATGTTTTCCAAACTAGTGAAGTGGAAATGTTGCATAGAATGCTTTGGAAACATTTAAGGCTCATACCAGAGATGGCCAAATCACTTTCTGGAAAGTTGAACAAATATAACCCTTTTCCAGCAGTATTGAAAGCACCCATCTCCCCACATTCTTGTTACAACATTGTCATTCCAAACTGCTTTTTACTAGTTAGATAGTAATGTAGCCTTGCATTTCTTTTATTAGTGTATTGTATTAGAATTGCATTCTTCATTAATTATTTGTTCTTACATTTTATCTTTTTAAATTAAGATGTCAGTGCCTTCTTATAATAACGGCTCTTTACAGGTGACATTGGCAATATTTATTAGAAGTAGCCCCAGATTTACATTTGCCTTCTAATTGTATTGATATTGGTGTTTTCACTGGCAAAACTACAGAAGTTTCATATTTGCAATCATCCATTTGTGACTTATTCCGCTTCTGTTAACATAAAAATCCATTACTCACAATGCTTTCTTCCATATTTTATCATGTAATTTGTCTGTGATATATGAAGTCTTATTTATAAATAATTTAAGGATATAATTTAGGTTTTAACAATTTTTAAAGAAGATAACAACTACGATTGATTCTAAAGGTTTTCACAAAGAAACTTGCATTTTGAAGTTCTAAAAACCTAAGTCATAAGATCTTAAGAGTGGATTAGTGAATAAATAAGTTGTAGCTCACTATTCAAAAAAGACCATTTTTCCATAATTCTTTTTAGTAATAAACAGAAAGAATTCCTTTTCCATCTTACTAGTGACAAACTTCTAAACAAAGGATCCCTTACCTCCGACCTTTTCTGCTGTCGCCCACATGATAGTCAGTCAACCACCAGAATATAAGAGTCTAGGTCTGTGGTCAAACTTTCAGTTCCTGTTCCCAAAGTATAACTTTTTTGAAAAGACAAACAAGCATTTCATAAATGCACTCACAGACAGATGCCCACTAAATATTTCTGCTAAGCAAATTGGAAAATATGTTTGGTCTGAGCAACACTGCATTTTTGTATGTGTTTACAAAAACATACTTAATAGCCTATGGAAGTTTTGGTAAAATGTGTGACCTACCTATTGTGACCTAAAATAGTTCTTTTGCAACAACAACAAAAAAGCAGGAACAAATGTTTTAAAAAATATTTTTCAATGGAGAAAAAAAGCTTTTGCAACTTCAAGAAAAGTGTATCTCATTAAGAAAATGAAAATAAAAGAAATGTTGCTATCATCTTCCAGTTTAGAGACATTACCTTCATAATGAGTTTCCGAAGTATAATTACAAATCCAGTTGTCATCTGAATATAAAAGACTATAAACTATAGTTTAATATGCATATGTCATATATTTCACTTATAAATTAAAAATAAGAGAAGGCATATAAACTTTCATTTTTGTAAAGCAGCAAATATAGTAATAGATTTTTTAAAGGTGCGTATTATGTATTTTATGAATATACCTTTTTCCTACCCAGTACAGTGCCAAAATTCTCTGTTCAGCTTTCAGAATCTTGTAAACAGATTCACACAGGAATTGTGTCATCAGCAAAAGGAATGCTAGAAAAAATAAAAGCAGACCATTAACAGTGCATTGTTCCATTTTAGTAAATGTATCAACATAGAACTTTTGGAAGCAGGAGATTTCCAAAGTTTTTTTCCAAGGTTTTCAAAATAAATTTCTATATGTAAATTTACATAAATGTATATAAAATATATATAAATATAATAAAGTTATTGTTTATGGGAAAAGAGGCATTAATTGGACACTTGAATGCTACCAGAATTAATCTAAAAACATATACACATATAAATTACCTTACATGCATATTGCATATATATATTAATCCCCTCAGAAGTTGTTCGTTTTGTCTGATTTTCATGTAACCATCCTACAGATGCGTTAGGACAGGCAACATTAAGATAAATTCTTAGTTCTTGGAATGATTTATGAGAGATCTTCAGGTGTCCTCATAAGTCCTTGCCTTGATTCTGTTCAAACGTCTGACAGCAACAGTCAGCATGGTAACTGCTAAGTGGGAGTCATTCAGCTATCTCTACGTTCACGTTTCTTGCTATATATCTCTAGACTGTGCTGCCTAGCTCGACTTCAGAAATACTGCTCTTGCTACTTTCATAAGTGCCTAAGAGCTCTGCTTGGTTACCCATTTCCCCAGGCTGGACAGAAATGGACTGCTACTCAGCTGAAATTCCTAAGAATCAGACTTCTGAAAGCAGGGAACCCATATATGGTGGTATAGCCACAGCCTTGGTCCCAGCTCAGATTATTCAGTATTAGTTCAATTCAGGGAGAGCTGAGTAATGCTTCAGTGTTCATTCTTATTTACACCATTGATTATTCAGTTTTGATGACAAGATTTATGTGTGGCATTTGAGGAGTTTTATGACCATATGGTATCTATCTGAAGCATGATGGGTAGGAAGGGATTTTACTTCATTCCAGTATTAGAACTTTTGCTAATAAACACAGAAATTCAAAAGTTGCCACATTGATGACTTCACATTATTGGGGCGCTTGGGTGGCTCAGTCAGTTAAGCCTCTGACTCCTGATTTCAGCTCAGGTCATGATCTCAGAGTTCTGCATGGGGCTCTGTGCTCAGTGTGGAGCCTGCTTGAGATTCTCCCTATCTCTCGCTCACACTCCAGCTCTGCCCCTCCCCCCGCTCTTTCTCTCTCTCTCTCTCTCTCTCTCAAAAAAAAAAAAAAAAAAAGGCTCCACATTATTTCATTAGTTTGCTAATTATCCCATTGGAGAGTATTCCAAAATGAAAAAAATTATTAAAAATTTTGAACATCAGAAATTATACTGCTGCAGTAAAATAAAGGTTCGCTATAGTCTGCTAATTAAAAAAAAAAAAACTTCTTTTCATTAAAAATGTTACTAAAAAAAGTACCCCAAACTCTACCTTTTTCAATTAAGTGTAATGTCACATCTGACCGAATAAAAAGACTACGCAGAATTTACTTAAAAATGAAACAGAAATTTTGCCATATCCTGTATGTTGGCAGCACAGAAATATACAGGTGGTAATTTTACCCACAAGAGGGAGCCTGTATTTTTACATTTTTGTCACAGAACTTGAAAAACTTGAATTAAAATATAAAATTCTAAAAATGTTTATTGATACCATATTCTTTATGTCAGGTCAATTTTTGAGAAAGGCAAACTTTAGTTGACATAATTTTATTCAGCCTTAACATACAGTATGTCAGATGACTGGAAACATAATTAGAATTTTAAAAAATTTTCTACCTATAATTTTTTTCATACATTAAGAAGGAAAATGTAACTGCCAAAGCAGCCTAAGAGAAAATTCCTTTTAGGTGGTAATAACATTAGTTGGGATAAATTGACTAGAATTATTATGAGTGCTCTGTACATAGAAGTGAAATGATATTTCAGTCATCCTTTTGTCAGAAAAGAGGCTTGTGTAAACCAATAATTTTCCATGCATTTGTAGAACAGGAAACACCCTATTTAAAAAATTCCTGTGATGGCCATTCTCACGGATATTACTTAAAACTTGCCTAAGAAAGGATATAACTGGCATGACACTACAATGAACTCTTCTTAGAGTTGAGAATAAAAATTTTTTCTTTAAAAAAAATATATAAGCTTTATTCCCTTGTATTCTATGATCTCCCTAAGCAGTATCAGAAATTACTATGACTTTCCAAATAAATATGCTCTAGGTTTTGTAAAAATAAAACGCATTCATCAACTTAAAAACTACCTTATAAAAACAAATTGGAGCAGCTCTTACCAACCCAGAGTGATCTGCTCTATCACATTCAGAGATAGTAATAATCCAGCTGAAATCTGTTTTGTGATCCCTCATAAAGTGCAAGGAAGACAGATGCCAAACTGTCTCTCTCCCCCAGAGTCCTCAGCTCCCCCACCATGTTAAATAACGGGGCAGGGAGTCGAAGAAGGGGTTAATCACTACTGCTGTGCTTCCTTCTGGAATTCCAACCTACCCATTAAATCATTGTTTTTTCTCCCACAAGGGACTGTGAATCTAATGGACCTAAAATCAATACCTTATAAATGACATAAAAAATATATTCATTTTATGGACTAATGTACCCTAGTGTCTGAATCCTATTTACACCCTCTACTTTAAAAAGGAACAACAGACCCATTTCTGCCAGTAAAAGGTTACTCAGTCACTCTGGTGACATGCTGCAGAATGCACTGTCATACTAAAGTGCAGCAGGAGGGAAAGATTGGTGGCTGCAACCCTGCTATTGTAGAAACTTTAAACCTGGTGGGGCGAGCTTGTGTTAAGAAACACAATCAGGGAGGAGCATGCAGGTTGCTTCCTAGAGTTCGCCGTGTTCTGAGGTGCTTGTGCAGGTCTCTGTTCCGGTATTGTGTTTCATAACTTACATAAAATTTTGAGTGCATCTACTATTACATAATATTAAAAAAACAAACATAACTTTCATTTAATAGTGAATTCTATAATGATTGAAAAAACTGGATAAAAAATCCTGAAAGGCAGAAATGCTCATAATATACCAAAGAGATATCAGCCAAGTAAACGTAGTGTGAGATTACACCACATTAAACCACAGTCATAGACCAACTCTGGTGAGACCCAGGGCATTTCCTCTATCAGATGCAGTAGGAAAACAACCAAAAAAGATACATAACCATCTGTTGGGGTTTTTTATGTATTAAGAAAATATATATATACTGATGAGAAGGTTTTATATTTACAGAATAGTCTTTAATGCAAAGGACCGACATACTTGCTTCAAATGCCCTTTTTATCACTTACAAAGTTCTCATGGTTAGCTTACCAAAAAAAATCCCTCAATTTACAATCTATTAGTAACTGTATTTAGAGATATCTTCTTCTACTTTTAATATATTTAAGACATCAAATACAGAGCAACCCTGAAAAACACAAAAATACCTGCAGTGCAAAGATAAAAGTATGGCCAAAAAAAAAGGAAGAAGAAAGCTAAAAACTAAAGGAAGATCTATTTTCCTGGGAAAAAAAACCATCGTTTGACTTACTCTTTGTTTCAATAGGTACAAATCAAAATAGTCAGAGAATAATGAACAGGAAAAGCAACTTGAACACAGATACTTCTTGAGATAATTCCAGCAACAGGTCAGCCTGAGATTCCCTGTTCAGTTTTACTGGCTTAAAATCCATATAGTTATAAAATTACAGATTGACATAAAAAAAAAAAAAAACTGTTGTTCTTTATTCCAATTGCCAACCAGAGCCATTTATCCCCTATTAGATAAAGTATAATAGACTCTACCAAAAGGGTCATTGGCCTTCCATTTAATGATATTGCCAGCCCCAATCTGCATTTTCCCGGCAATGTCCCTCAACACAGAATAAATGGCTGATCTCTTCACAATAACAGCTGATTTCTATTTATTAAGCTAAAAAGGTCACCATTTTCTACGGCTGGGCCGCCCTGCACTATTGATAATTTTATGCATAAACAAATGGCAAATTTGTGCCACATAAATATGCATTAGCAATTACTTTTTCCTCCGGCAACGCTCACCGCATGCAAATGTGTACCTCGAAGGGCCTGGTAGCTTTTGTTTTAGCTCTTGAACAGTGAAACAAAAGAGCACAATAAACAATTTTGAAATTGCCAATCAATAAGCAATGCAAATGCAAAGGTAAATGGCAAGAAACTTGCTTAGAAACAACAAAACAAAAAGTGAGGTGGTGGGGGTTTGTGGAAAGATTTTCTTTTTTATATTATTTCATTTATTTCTCTTCCATAATGAAAAGGCTAAAGTACTCTTGACACAGAACAGCTAGCAAAGCTGGTGCTAAAGCAGATGCCAGATGGGGAAAGTGGAAAATATACACATGTTGAGTAAACACACACATACATACATACACCCTAAAAGGGGGTATGGGAAAAACTGTGTTCCAATGTGATTTCAAATGCATCACCTATTCAAATTTCTGATTTTTCAATTTCAGAGATTCAGAGAATTTTTAAACTAGGAGGAGCTATAGGGATACATAGCCAAATCTTAATTCCACTGCACTGGGCTATGTTGTTTCCTAATACCATCTTCCTCAGACAAAGGGAATATGCATGATCAATAAGTAGGATTTTTTAGGAACATGAGAAAAAGGAATAAATGAGGAATATATAAACAAGAGATCAAAACATCTACATGCCCTGTAGATGTTTAAGATAAAAAACAAAACAAAACAAAAAAACCTATCTCAGAACAGTTCAAGACTAGTATCAGGGCATCAGGATAGAGAGAGAAAGGGCTAATAAGGTGAGAGGCAACAGTGTTAAGAGAGCCTAGGAAAAGAAGTTAAGTATTACCTAATTTAAATATGAAAACAAATGATAACTCAAAAATGTTTGCATTTTTTAATAAAAAATGAACTTCAATAAGAGATTTTTTTAGTGCTATCTCTCACGCACTGTTCTAAGTGCTTTACACACTTAGATCCACTATGCTTGATCTTCACAGAAACTTCTATAGGTTGGTACATTTCATAGCACGGAGGAACAAACAGAAAGGTTAGAA